GATCACAAGTACTCTAATCTCGCTATGCATAGGCTACTCTCCAGCAGACCTTTCGTAAGCTACTCGCTGCTACTTACTCACTCTCAAGCATCTCATAGCAGCAGTAATCTCCTAGGCTAAGGCATCACAAATCAGGCCACTCTAGTCCTAATATGAATACCTAGCCTACTCCAGCATTCATAACATATCATATCATATCTCATAACACATAATGTAAGGGTATTTTGGGAAATCAATGTTCCGGCGCTGGCTGATCGTACACACTGCTCTGCTCTGCTCATTTCAAAACCTTTTACTCTTTTTTAGAAAAATTGTTTTATTTGTGAAAAATTTCTCAAATCCTCAATTTGAGTTCAAATATGCCTGAAGGTGCATCCGAATCCCTCAAACCAAGGCTCTGACACCAACTTGTAACGACGTAAAATTTTTAAACAATTTTCATTTTTCAAACCATAAAACTCATTCAATATTCACAAATCTCATATTCAACAATTGTCATCAATGATAAAACATATCCCAAGATCACAAGATAGAATCCTCTGTCAGTGTGTACGGATCATGCCGGCGCCTTCCCACGGTTCTCGCTAGTACCTGAAACACATAACACATAACACAGTAAGCATAAATGCTTAGTGAGTTCCCCAAAATACCACATACAACACATACGCCACTCAAGGCTATAGCTCTATGGGACCTTCCGGTCCATGTGTCTCAGGGGACTTCCGTCCCAACTCGAGTAGACCTTCCGCCTCTACTCGTAATGACCTTCCGGTCCTCATCATCTTGACCTTCCGGTCCATACACTGTTGATCTTCCGATCCATATCATAAGGACCTTCTGGTCCATACTATATTCGTAACATAACATAGCACATACATATCATATAATAGCATATATCACATTCTACTCATAGCACATAAGACCTTCCGGTCACACATAATTACCACTCTAGGTAAAGTATAGTGAGAAGAATCACCTCGTCTGATGTCTAGCAACTCACGTGCTCAAATCCCTAAATCTCGAATCAACGACCTAGCCCTGCCGAATCACATAAGGTAATTGTTTCAAATCATTAACGGCTCTCAAGGCTAGACTAATCCCTTCCTATGTCCTCTCAAAAGGCTAAAAAACCATTTTACCCCTCAATGGTCCCAAAAGTCCAAATGTTGACCAACCCTAAAAGTCAACGAAAGTCAACTGCAGGGTGGTACGCGGCGCGTACCAGATCTGTACGCGGGGCGTAGTCCGCGATTATCCAAAGTCGGGAAACTCGACCCCCTACGCGACGCGTACTGGGATTACGCCCATCGTAAGTCCCAGTTTCATCCTTTCTTCATTTTTGGTCTGAATAGGTTAAGTCATGGGCTCAAATCACAGATCTAGGCTCTCTACTGCCTCCTAAGTCATAAAGTCGAAACCTTTAAGCCTTGCATGGCTATAAAGGTCACCAACCACTTCAAACATATAACATCTTTCCCCATTAAGCCCTAATCTCATGCATGACTTAATCTTGACGTCCAAGATTGGATTTTTATGAATCCACAACGCATATTACACTGAAATAAGGCAGATCTATGCTTATGGAGGCCATTTGCTCAAAAAGTCTCCATTTTGGGACCAAAAACCCTAAAAGGTGGTCCATCAAACACAAAACAAAAATGATAAGGAAAGCTTTGAGCTTTTTACCTCCAAGTGAAGCTCCACCCTCTGTAGAACTCAGATCCAAGCTTGTACTCCAACTTGTAGCCTCCACAAGAACTTCCTCTTCTTCTCCACTACCACACCAAGACACTTTTTAGCTCAAAAACACATACACACAAGCTTTGAAGGATGGAATTGCTCTCTTAGGGTTTCTTTCTCTGTGAAATTGTGGCTGAGGCTAAGACCATATCATTCCTTTGATAGTCCTCAGGCCACATTAGGGTTTTGCATCTGGGCCGGCTACGCCCAGCGTACCTAGGCGAGTCCGCGTCTAAATTAAGCGCATGAGTACGCGCAGTGTACTCTTCAGTACGCCCAGCGTACTCATTTGCCATCACTTTTCTTTTAAGGGCTAATCTTGACAACTTGGAAAAGAAGAAGGGTTTAAGAGATGTACCTGAATTTCGGGATGTTACATCTGTGAAGTGAATTGATTAGTTTAGAGAACCATGTCTCGTGTAGTGACAAAATTTTAGTCAGAGAATTGAAGAATGAGATGGTCAGACGGAGAGACCAATTCAAACGGTAGAAGATATGCTTTGTGCATATGTCTTGGAGTTGGTGCACGTCAAGTGGAAACACCATCGAGGCCCAAATTATAATTAAGAAAATAAGAATGAGATAAGAGCGAAAAATTCCAAGTCATTTTTATCGATATGATTTTGGGGACGAAATCCTCAAAAGGAGGAGGTATTTGTAACATACACGTTTTGAAATCGTGTTTTAAGTAAATAATATTATGTGATATTGAGTATTGAGTTCTAACAGATAGTTTTTACTAGAAATGAAGTAAAACTATGTTTAGAATCACTCGGAAAATATTGGAAGTCTTATGAGATGCCAATTAAAAGTTAAAATATCGAAATTTAACGAAAATATAAAATTTGAAATAAGTAAAACTTTATTATTCAAAGTTGTAGATAATTTCATTAGAAGCATTTAGGCGAAAACCTCATCGAAATCCGAGTTATAACGAAGAAGTTATGACCAATCGAAGATCCGTAACAAAACCGGCACGGCGCCGAATGACGTAAAAAGTGAATTTTTGATAAGCTACTTTTTAGCCTTGGAGATCTAAACGAAAGTCGTAGTATTTGTTAAACCGAGAATTTTCATCAAAAAGAACGCCCAAATCTGACTTCGTATGAGGAAGTTATGATTTTTCTAAGTTTCAGCTTAGCAGTAGACAGCTAAAAACTCGAAATAAAGATCGAGGGATATTTAGCCGAAACAATCTAAACGAGAATCAAAGGTCTCGTAAATAGTAGTGCAACGGTAAAAAGACAGACGAAAACGAACGTCGGATGAAGAAGTTATGAATTTTTAACGGATTTTCCTGTCCCGGTCTGTTTAAAATAATAATATTAAAAATAATATCAAAATTAGCCAACGAAGTCTAAATAAAAGTTGTAGAGCATAATTTTACCTACGCGTGCATATAAAGAACGTCAAAAACGGAGCCCGTATGCGAAAGTTATGGATTTTAGAAGATTTGGTCACAATTTCCGAGAAATCTCGCATGGATAAGGTCTGGAATAGGCCACGTCATCGGATCCTCGCACGCATGCCCCATGTCCGCCTTGTATGCGAAGTAGCTTAGTCACCGATACGCTGTGCAGCCAAGACTCCGACGCGTGTCCGGTGACTCCTCGCATCCGAGGCGCTGGACCAGTCCGAAGCCGACGCGTGTTGCGTCGGTGTCCGAACCTCACACCCTCCACCTGGCCTTCGCATCTGCTGCCGCGTAGAGCCTTCTCATCCATCGATCTTCGGTCTCGCACCCTATAAAAGGGGTGGTTGCGAGATCTCCCGGGTAATTTTGGAAAATTGCCCATTTTCACCCCTAATTCCATATTTTGGCTAATTCCACTTCCCCCGAAGCCCCGATATTATTTTTAACACCCGAAACACGCTCCGAAGTGCCCGAAGACCCCGAGAAATTTATCTTTTCGGTTTGAAGCTCAACCTTCGTAGGGCCCGGTTTTCTAGAAAACTCTCGGTTTTTCAACGAAGAAAGTCAATTATAGTAACGAAGTGCTGCCCAAATTACTATTTTAACCCCCGGTTATTTCACGGTGAGTTCAATATATAGGAACAATTGTATGTTATGTGTTATATGTTCAATGTGCTTTCCTGTGTTATTCTGGTTTTATACCTTTGGCTATGTAAAACATGATTTGTATACTAACGGAATACTAACGGAGCTATACCTTTGACTTGAATTGTATGACATAAGCATCACTTGGATATTGGTATGTAGCCTCTGGCCATGTAGAGCATGTCTCGTAAGAGAATGACTTCTATTCTATGGCATTGGCAGATGGTTAGACAGGGCTGAAAGCCTGAAATCTACCAAAATGTTTAATCAAAAAGTATATGTCTTCTGTGCCATTTGGGCCAAAACTTTATTGATGTATATCAAGTAGTTGAAATTGTTATGTCTTATTGATTGATATGGAAAGTATGTCATATGATACTCATATGCTCCTGTTGTTCTTTGTACCTCTTTGCTTCTGTCATATTGATATGTATATGGCATAGCGTTATATTGTATCTATTATTGAACTCACTAAGCGTCACCGCTTACCCCTCTCAATGTTTAACAATTGCAGACAATAAGTAACCAGTATTGTCATATACTGTTGGAAGATTTAGAATAGTTTATACTATTACTTTTGTATCTGGGTTTACGTTTGTATAAAAAAAATTATAATATCATGGGTAGTTATGTAATATACTAAAACTTAGTCGGTTTGTATCCAGTCTTTTGTAATCAAATTATCAATGTAAAGTATTATTTATGAAATATGCATGTAGCATGTTTTTGGAGTAACAATATTGTGAAGTATGAAAGTTTGGGTCTTTCAGAAATAGGAAAGTTATGGTCTTTCAACATCTTCAGCTCGTCCACTATTGGTTGTAGAAAAACATCCAAATTTTGTCCGAGACTCTTTTTCCAAGGAATGATCAAAGGAAGCATTATGTACTGATGTTTGAAGGCCAACCGAGGAGGTAGGTTATAAATTGTCATAAACACTGGACAACATGAATAAGGACTCATATTTGAAATGTTTGGACTGAACCCATCAGTACACAACCCAAGAAGGACATTGCGTGTCTCTTGTGCAAAATCGGGAAAGACCTTGTTAAAATGACTACATGCTCGACCTTCACTCGGATGTATCATCTTTTCAGGATCTACTTGATGATCTGAGTGCCAAGTCAATTTTTGAGCTCTCTTCTTTGAATAGAACAACCTTTGAAGTCTCGGTCCAATTGGCATATAAGTCATGACTAGATTAGGAACATTGCCACCAATTTTTGTGTATCTACATTCATTACATACTAAACAATGATCCAAATTAGAATGATGTCCATTGAATAGCATGCAATGGTTTTTACACACATGGATTCGTTGTGAAGGTAACTTTAATGGCTTTAACATTTTCTTGGTCTCGTAGAAGTTATCAGGAAGCTTCGCACCTGTTGGTAGACTATCTTTGATTATCGGAAGTAGTCTATCAAATGACGAGTCTGAAACATTATACTCAGATTTCCAATTCAATAATCTGGTAGTGGTAGAGAGTGTGGAAGCTTTTAGAGACCCGTCCCATAATGGCTCGGTCGCTTGGTTCACCAGTTTAAAGAAAGTTTGGGCCGATTGATTTGGGTGTTGTAGTCCTTGTTGATAATAAGGAACATCAGGCCCGTACATGGTTTCGATAACCATTTGTTGGTATCTAGGAAAATCACTAACATCTTTATCAATTTCTTGAGCCATTACTTGAGATGGTATTGGGTTCGAAGATTTACCAATTTCTTGTGTTGGATATAATTCGCCATGTGCATGCCATATTGAATAATCTTTCACGAATCCAACATCATATAGATGTTTTGCAACTATCTTTCTCGTATTGTAATAATGATTTTTACATTTCCTACATGGACATCTAATTTGAAAAACCTCCTGTTAGGTAAAATATGAAAGGTTGAAAACATGTGGCTATGCATGTGAAATAAAAGAATCAATTGTTGGACGGCTAATGTGAATGGAAGGAAATTCAACGTCAACATTTGCGGCTTTCACATTTGAGTACTATTGTCACGACGACTCAACATTTGCGGCTTTCACATTTGAGTACTATTGTTACGACGACTCAATTTCATGTGCAAATTGCGGCTCTCTCACCTATATATATGCATGTATGTTTTGCATATTTTGTGTGCAAAAACTTGAGAGAACATCAAGTGTAGAGTGTCAAGCCAATTGTAATCTTGTGAGTTTTAATAAAATTCTCTAGTTGCAGCCCGTGGATGTAGGATTTGCACCGAATCCGAACCACGTAAAATCCTTGTGTTCTTCTTGCTTTATTTTCGTGAGTTTGTGTGTGTGTGATAGTGTGTTTCCGCTGCGTGTACCCGGTCCGGTTCCTAACAACTGGTATCAGAGCCAGATTAGCGAGGTTTGGAGGGTACAATCATTTTTTTTTATCATGCACGAGTGTACCTGATTTGTATCTTGTTTGTCGTAATGGCTGAAGACAAGATTATAATCGAAAAGTTCAACGGTTCTGATTTTAGCTGGTGGAAAATGCAATTAGAAGCATTGCTATGTCAGAAAGACTTGGACATGGTACTCGGAGACAAACCGGAGAAAATGGAAAAAGCTTTTGAAGATGCGTGGAACTCAAAGGACAAGAAAGCCAAGGCGGTTATTACATTGTCATTGACGAAGAGCGTTGCTTTCAACATCATGAATGAAACCACGGCGCGTGGTATGATGGAGGCTCTGTCAAATATGTGTGAGAAACCATCGGCGGCTAACAAGGTGTTCTTGATGAAGGAGTTGTTCACTACAAGGATGAATGAGGAAGGCTCAGTTACGGTTCACATTAATAATTTAAATTCAATTATGTCCAGATTATCATCTGTGGGAATTAAATTTGATAACGAGACTCAAGCATCACTGCTACTAGCTTCTCTACCTGATAGCTGGTCCGGAACAGTTACTGCTGTTACAAGTTCCGTGGGGACCAGTGGTATGACTTTTGAAGGGGTTAGAGATTTGGTTCTAGGCGAGGATATCAGACGCAAGAATCAAGGTGGATCTTCCTCTTCTGATTTATTAAATGTCGGAAGAGGTAGAGGGAATAGCAGGAATAGTCGAAGCAGTGGGAGTCGGGGAAGAAGTTCATCTAGAACTAAGAAGAATGTGAAGTGCTGGAACTGCCAGGAGGTGGGACATGTTAAGAGTCAATGTCCAAAGAAAGAATTAAACATTGCTGGTGCTGAGAGTGTGTCTGAGGATGATGCACTGATACTCAATATGGAAAGTTCTGTGGACTCTTGGGTCATGGATTCAGGGGCTTCGTTTCACGCCATGGACAACGGGGAAACGATGGTGAATCTAAAAGAAGGAGATTTTGGAAAGGTACGTTTGGCAAATGACGAGATGCTTCAGGTAACGGGCATGGGAGATATTGATTTGGTTACTTCATTGGGAACTACATGGAGCCTGAAGGATGTCAGGGTGATTCCGGAGCTGAAGAAGAAATTGATTTCTGTTGGTCAGCTGGATAAACAAGGAATGGAAGTAAGGTTTGGTGGTGGTAAATGGAGGGTGATCAATGATAATCTAGTGATTGCTCATGGTATGAAGTGTGGGTCATTGTATATGGTTGAGGTATCTGCTGAGGGAAGTATGACCGTCCCTGTTAAGCAAGACAAAATCTGGTTCGCTAAATCTACGGCTAAGAGAGTTCATTTTGCAAACATGAATTCTGGAGCCAAGGGGATGTTAGCTGAACGAGTCAGAAATTCTAAACCATTCAGGGGATTCTGTGACAGTGGGAGCACGGGGTGTGTTTCGGGTACAGTTACAAAGAGCCGTTGGGTTTTTTGAAGACTAAGACTGAAAAAGTCTCTCCTGTTGAAAGTTTGCAAAGTTGGGAGAGTGTTAGTGGTCCTCGGTTTATCTCTGGATCTGGTGGAGTGTCCAAACCGGTTGAGACAGAGGATGAGTCGGTGGTGGGATTAGCCACGACTGAGTTGGAGCTAGTGGGAGCTTCAACTGTCCCTTCTAGTACTTGAAGATGAGGGGCGGCTGCAATTAGAGAAATGGGACTAAGTTTAGCTTGTTCTTAGGAACTGGAGGCTTGGAAGACTTGGTTGTTTTAAGATTACTGGAGTTGGATGACAGAGACGGACCATGTTGTTCAAACTTTCAAGTGGGAGATTGTTAGGTAAAATATGAAAGGTTGAAAACATGTGGCTATGCATGTGAAATAAAAGAATCAATTGTTGGACGGCTAATGTGAATGGAAGGAAATTCAACGTCAACATTTGCGGCTTTCACATTTGAGTACTATTGTCACGACGACTCAACATTTGCGGCTTTCACATTTGAGTACTATTGTTACGACGACTCAATTTCATGTGCAAATTGCGGCTCTCTCACCTATATATATGCATGTATGTTTTGCATATTTTGTGTGCAAAAACTTGAGAGAACATCAAGTGTAGAGTGTCAAGCCAATTGTAATCTTGTGAGTTTTAATAAAATTCTCTAGTTGCAGCCCGTGGATGTAGGATTTGCACCGAATCCGAACCACGTAAAATCCTTGTGTTCTTCTTGCTTTATTTTCGTGAGTTTGTGTGTGTGTGATAGTGTGTTTCCGCTGCGTGTACCCGGTCCGGTTCCTAACACCTCCACCCCCTCTTGAATAATAGGTATAATGTTTGTTGCATTGGTGTAAGCAAATTCCAAGAAATCATGGATATATTGAAGAAATTCAGGATTAAAACGACCATCCTTAGTAAGTCTCATTGTGTACATCCGTTCTCTATTCCGTGACATCTCGTCTAGGTAATTATCTAAAATTGTTAAAACAAAAACGTAACAATACAATTTAACAATTTAACCATTTAATCACTTAACGGTACAAAGACTAATACATACGTTGTTTTATCAAAGCAACACTAGTTAGCAAATTATGATGACACGACGAATATCTACTTGTTGAACGAAGTCGTAACAAGGAATGAAAACTTACTATGTAACATATATAGATTGACACAACCATACGTATACATACACCGATACAACATATTGAGGAATGTCTCTTTCATGCTTGAACTAAACTATATTCTTATTTTTTTTCCTGTTTTTAATATAGATAGTAATGTTCTTATTATGTTTATTTCAAGTTATATGATGTCTGGTACAAATACAAATGGATACAACCATTTATATACATATATTGATACAAACTGATGTGAAATTGAACATACAAATTGATACATACAACATATTGATGTGAAATTAGGCATATACACTGATACACACATCATACACACTTATACATACAACACATATATACAAGGTTGAAGTTTGAACAAACCTCTCAATTCATTTTCGAAGTTGTGAGCGACATACCTGATTACAAGTGTCGTGGAGTGGATTGGGAGTGACAGGCGACAGTGGCGGTGGAGTGGGAGGAACCGGCGACAGCTGCGATGGTGGGAATGTGGAAGATACCGACGACAGTGGCGGTGAAGTGGAGCAACCGTCGGAAACTGATATTTATCTAGGGTTCTTCAAATCGTGATTACAAGTGTCGAGAAACAAAATTGAGGGGGGGAGAGAATTATACATACGATTCCGACGGGCCCTGTAGCGTTCAGTACGCGAGATTCCGATAGCGACGCTCCCAATCGATGTAGGGTTCGTCTTTGTCTTCAAGTTAGAGAAAAACGGGAACGTAAGGAGGAACGTGTTTGTGTACCGGGTTTTTTTTGTCAGTACTTGGGAATCCGTAGGTAATTACCTACGTATCTCCTACGAAAAATTAAAAAATGATTTTTTTACCTACAAATCTCCAACGGAAATTAAAAATACAATTTCTTTACCCATAAATCTTGTAAACAATAATTTTAAAATCTTTATAACTTGTTTTTATCATAATATTATTAAAAGAAACACACAAAAAAAAATTTGTTAATCTCCTACGGCGCTGCCCCTAGACCCCGCCAGGGGCGCTGCCCCTTGAAACCCTGCACCCATGGGCGCTGCCCCCGGACCCCCACATTCTCGAGTTCACATGTATCATTCCTGTTTTGTAAATTGTGATTTGGTTTATGATTATGATTTTTGTATAAATATATTGTCTTTTGTTAGCTTAAAATGATTGATATGGTGTAATGGTACAAGTAGTTGAAGCTTACCGTAGGGTTTGGGTAAAATTGAAGGAATTGAAATGATTGTTGATGTATTATAGCTTAGTTTATGGTTTATTTCAATGGTTATGAACTTTTATCATAAATTTAATCTATGTGAATTAGGATTCATAAATGAAGGGGTATGACTTAATGAACTAAGTCTTTGAATGTTAAATTGTGGTACTTGTGATGATACAACATATAAAATGATTAAACTTGAAATGAGTAATGCGTTTCGATTGTGTACATGGATGTACGTATGTTTGTATGATGTATAACTTGGTGAAAACAAAGTAATCAATGTATAATAATGTTGTGAAAAAAATGAAGCAAAAAAAAAAACAACATTTTAACCTTCGAAAATGAAAATTTGAAAATTCGTAGGTAATACCTACAGCTTACCTACAAATGATTTTGTTTTTTTCATTTTCGAAGGATCAAAAGTCATTTTTTTCGCTTTATAATTTTCACAACATTCTTATACATTGATTACTTTATTTTCATCAAGTTATAAATCATATAAACATACATACATCCATGTGCACCATTGTATACATACACATA